CACGAGCTCCATCCAGGCTGGAGGGCCCCCGCTTGTTAATGAGACGGGAGACTGTCAAAAGTCGTCGTAAATCCCCAGAGCAGGGGTCTCCAACCTTTTTAAGCACGAGATCACTTTCTGAATTGAAGTGCAATCCAGGATCCACCTCAAACCCAAACACCCTGCCCCTCGCTTCCTTCCCACCCCTTCTCCAAGGCCCCGCCCCTGCCCTCTCCATCCTCCCTCACTGTTATCAGGCTGGGGGCAGGGATCTGGGGTGCAGGAGGGGTTCAGGCCCGGGACTGGGGTTCAGAATGCAGGCGCCAGGTGGCTTCTGGGTGGGGGTGCAGCAGGGCTAAGGCAGACTCACTTCTACCCTGGCCCTGCACCACGCCCAAAAGCAGCCAGCGAACTCCCTCCATCCCTGCCCCCCTCAGCTCTGTGGAGGCGGGGTACAGAGTGGAGGGGGGGCACCCTGACATCAGCACCCCCTTCATCTTCTTCCCATGCCCTGCGCAGCAAGCAGGCGGCTCACGGGGGTGAGGGGCACCTCCAAGGCGGAGGGAAGGAGCCGCACAGCAGTGCTGAGGGGCAGCTGACACTTGACAGCCTCCCGGCCAAACCTGTCCGGATCAATTGTCAAAGGTTCCAAGATCTACAGTAAACCCCGATCGAGCGCCTGCTTGGTGACCGATGCCCTAGAGCCACCCGTCCCCGTTCCTGCCCCACGGCTGCATTCCCCCCTTCCTCCACCCCCCATCCCTGCCCCACGGCTGCGTCCCCTAGATCCGCCCCCATCCCTGCCCCATGGCTGCATCCCCTAGATCCACCCCATCCCTGCCCCAAGATGCATCCCCTAGATCCACCCCCATCCCCTCCCCAAGAATCCCTGCCCCAAGATGCATCCCCTAGATCCACCCCATCCCTGCCCCAAGACTGCGTCCCCTAGATCCACCCCCATCCCTGCCCCATGGCTGTGTCCCTTAAACCCCCCCCCCACCCCTGCCCCACAGCTGCAACCTCTAGATCCACCTCCATCCCTGCCCCAAGATGCATCCCCTAAATCCACCCCATCCCTGCCCCAAGACTGTGTCCCCTAGATCCACCCCATCCCTGCCCCAAGACTGCGTCCCCTAGATCCACCCCATCCCTGCCCCCTGGCTGGAGGCGCCGCCCAGCCCCACCCCATCCCTGCCCCAAGACTGCGTCCCCTAGATCCACCCCATCCCTGCCCCATGGATGGATTCCCTAGATTCCCCCTCCATCCCTGCCCCACAGCCATGTTCTCTGCATCCACCCTGTCCCTGCCCCATAGCTGCATCCCCTAGATCCACTCCCAGCCCCACTGCCATGTTTCCTGAATCCACTCTGTCCCTTCCCCATGGCTGAGTCCCCTAGTTCCACCCCATCCCTGCCCCACAGATGCATCCCCTAGATTCACCCCCATCCCTGTCCAACAGATGCGTCCCCTAGATCCACACCCAACGCTGCCCCACAGATGCGTCCCCTAGATCCACCCCATCCCTGCCCCACAGCTGCATCCCCTACGTCCTCCGCCATCCCTGCCCCATT